TTTCCATAGTCTTGCCATAAACTGAATTGTTCATAAGCTTAAAGAAATCTTTCTCAAAAGCATTCTTAGCCCCTTGACGCTTTTCTGTATTAAAAGCTATATAGGGTGCGAGCCAGTTAGTTTGATCGAATGATAAGATTTCTATTACCTCATCTACTATCATACCTAATTTTACATAGTATTGAAGCTCTAGGTAATGAATAACATATTCTTTTCGTGGACCTAGATGGGGTACTAATTTTTTTGTAGCTGAAAATCGACCACCATCTAATTTATCTACAAGCTCTGTAGTATGAGAATTCAACATATCTTTAGTTACAGCCATATTCTCTACTGCTAGAGGTAAATCATTCAAATAGTTATGAGTTTTTAGAGGGAAGTGCATATTAATCTTTAGAAAATATCCTCTTTTAGCATCCACTTTGGTATTAAGAATTTTATTAAGCATTTCTTTTTAGAAGGTTGGATCATTTTTAAAATGTCCTTGTCTTCCTTCCCATTGATAATTTCCAATAGGCAAATACTGACTCATAGCCCAGCCATAAAGATTATTTGCATCGACATATAAAATCCATGTTGTAGGCTTGGATGGATTAAATGCCTTGCCTATTTTTGGATTATTGGCCTTGAAATATCGATGACCTGCCATAGCTATACCTCCACGCTTAGCTTTTTCTATAAAATCATGCATAGCCATATCTGTAAAGAGCTCAATTTTAACTCCTGTCATTTTAAGCATGGCATCCCAAGCTAAAGCTGGTGCAGAGATGTAATGACTAGGATCAAGTTCATAATATTGCATGCATGTCTTTCGAAATTGGGTCCAAATATCTGCTAGACTAAGTACATCAATTTTAAGATAGAGGTCATGGTACTCTCCTAGATTTTGGCAGTTAAATTCTTTCCATACTTTTTGTGCATGCTCATAATCTTTTTGACTAATTTTGCCATGAAGATGTGTACTAAATTCATGAATTGGCGGAAGCTCAGTCTCTAAAAATCTATCTTGTGAATCGAAATACTCATAAGGATGAACTCCTTTATGACTTGCTAGTGAAATTTGATCTGAAGAATAGTCTTTAAAGTGCTGGCTTGTGATAGGGTGGTTGTCACCCAAATTCTTCGTAAGATTTGCTAAGCTATTATTCATGAATTGCTTACTATCTATATATTTAAGCTGACCTACCTTCATAGATTTATAACGCTCAAATGTCTCAGCTATAACCTTGATCTGATGTGCATTAACAGATTTTCCAACAGATTCACAAACTAAGTGAGAGTCATAGCCCCGGAAATTATGAAAGACAACTGGAATTGGCGTCTTCCATGCTATGATCTGAAGCTCAAGATTACAGGTATTGTGGGCAGCTTCTCGAAACTTACCTGTAATATGGCAGTGGTCCCAAACCTTTATGTTCATAGACTTTGCTTTATTAATATCTTTAGTTATTTTGTCAATTTGTTTTCTTAAAGTCTTATAATCTTCTGAATTCTCTAAGGTATCTTCTAACTTTTTATTAAGCCATGATATCTTATTTTCTAAGCATTTGACTTTATCTCTATCAATAATAAATTTTTCTTTACATATCCAACAACTATTTGCTTCATTGAATTTCTTTTTGTCTTTGTCAGTCTCAATTCGTTCATGTTTTATAGCTAAGACTCTATTAATTCTGACTAATTCCTTATCGATTCTTTTAACAAACTTCTGAG